TCACCGACAGCCAGGGCACGGGATAGAAAACCATTGCCGTGCGGATAGTAGACTATTGCCGTGCGGATAGTAAACCATTTGCCGTCCGAAAGCCGTGCGGGTAGTAGACTATGGCCGTGCCGCATGGTAAATCATTACCGTGCAGATAGTAAACCATTGCCATCCGGATAGTAAACTATTGCCGGTACACCACTGGCCACCAAGGCTTACCTCTGACAATAGACTTCGAAATTCAGAGTCTATCGGCTATCGTACCCTCAACTTACCTATTCATTACAATTAAGCCCTAGCTTACCTAAAATTACAAAAAAACTCAAGAGCCCAATTCATTTAACAATCGGCACCCACCCCACCACCTACGTAATGCCTTGGGCTCCAACTTAGTAATAATATAAAACTTAAACCCTAAATCTATTAATGAGTGTGTGTTACAACGTAGCCTTAACTTACCTATTCATTACATTATGGCCCTAGCTTACCTAAAATTACAAAACTCAAGAGCCCAATTCATTGGCCTTTCGGCACCCACCCGATATATGATGTGAAACAAAACAAAAAAAAACACAAAACCAAAATCACACCACCAAGTAGAATAAAAGAATAGGAGTCCCTAACCTACCTATGTAACTAAATACCTTATGCCCTAGCCTACCTATATAATAAATTAATCTTTACCTCACCTACCTACGCTTCATTAACTTAACTCAAGACTCATGAAGAAAGAGAAAAAGGAGTAAAACAGAACATAAAATACTACCACACAAACAAACATGATGTATGTATGTATGTATGAGCAACCGTTAAAGAACCCACCTAAAATTAAAAAAATACCACCTACAAACATTCAAACCACCTACAAACATGCAAACTCTATATAACTCTATATAATAAAATAAATAAAAAAATTTTTAAAATAAAATAAATGAGATCAGACAGACTGCTTCAAGCGAGGCAGAATGCTGATCTGATTTTCATGTTGTCTCAGCTCCTCTATTTATACTCGTTTCAACCATACATTCTCATCATTTCAATCATTCGCATCAGTAAAAAAACTTGTTTAATGTATATACTGCACTATTATACAGTCTTAACCACAATGCTAAATTAAAGTCATCGAACGAACGCCTACGAAACTTTCTGGTTGGCTGGTTGAATCTGCTATATTGCTTTTCATATAAACATATAATCTAATATAATATAATTTAATTATTTGTATACATGGAGTCCAGTCACTTTAGATATATATAATAAAAATTCATTATAAAAGCAACAGTAATCAGTGCTATATATGTAAGCACGCAGTTCAAATTTTTCGGGGAGAATTCAAAATAGTTTGAGACCACACCTTGCTTAACATCCGATTCCAAGCCGAGCCAAGCCAAGCTGAGCCAATATGCATAGATTTATAAGCGCTTTTATGTTAATATTTTGCTCGCTATATTTATATAATTTATAAATTCATTATAAAAAACAACAGTAGCCATTACTATATATGTACGCACGCAGTTCAAATTTTTCGGGGAGAATTCAAAATAGTTTGAGACCACACCTTGCTTAACATCCGATTCCAAGCCGAGCCAAGCCAAGCTGACCCAATATGCATAGATTTATAAGCGCTTTTATGTTAAAATTTTGCTCGCTATATTTATATATTTTATAAATTCATTATAAAAACAACAGTAATCATTGCTATATATGTACGCACGCAGTTCAAATTTTTCTGGGAGAATTCAAAATAGTTTAAGACCACACCTTGCTTAACATCCGATTCCAAGCCGAGCCAAGCCAAGCTGAGCCAATATGCATAGATTTATAAGCGCTTTTATATTAAAATATTGCTCGCTTTTTAAACGAATATCCCAATATAACAAATTCTCCATCCTTTTTTAACTTTCTTTGATGCTTTTTAATCAGTCAGGTCACAAAAATCATTATCGATATCGCAATGAAATCAATTTGAAATTTTTTTTTAATTATTGATAAAATTTTTAAATTGTTGATAAAAATAACTAGTATATATAGTGTAGTAAAACGTTTAAAATTTTCTGAGAGAATTCAAAATAATTTGAGACTACACCATAACACAATTGTACAATTTGAATGTGAAAATACAACATTATAAATGTATTATAACTACGTGTATATATCTATCTATTTCTTTATTTAGTTCTGCCTGTGTATATTTTGTCAAATTTATTTGATAGGAATTGAATATAACCTTTTTACCGGCTGATTAACTACCATGCAGTAAAATAACTACTGTTGACACCATTTCCTCCAACGATTTCGCAACGAATTGCCCATACCATATAATTAGAAAAAACCCTTTCAATCAATGTTTAAATTTTTATATTGTCATTTATTCTTTCGTTTTTGTTTCTGTACTAATTTTCGTATCAGATACAATAATTTAGTTTTTAAGTAAATTTTCATTTTCGTAGCTATACACAAACATGCCTACCTGTTGCATTAAAAATTGCATTAATAATAAATAGAAATGAGAAAATTTCTGATGCATCTTTTCACAGGTTTATTTTCAAATTAAATTCACACTAAAATAAATGTAACAATATCCCTATACTCATTGAATAGAACTATTTTGTTTTACAATTACATATACTTTATTTTATAGACTATTATAATTTATAATGCTATCATGGATTACCATTTTATTATTAATAAAAGCAATACTTAAGAAATGCACAAGTTTCTGTAACAGTTATAAAATTTCAGATTTCCTCAAAATGTAAAAATGCAAAACGATTGGATTAAGTGCATCAGACAGGAAATGAATGATTTCAAATGGCTTCCATCAAAAAATGCAAGAATATGCAGTGACCATTTCTGTAATAAAGATTATAAGGGTTAAGATAGAGAAAGGAAGGTAATGTTGAAGAAAGCATTCCCATGTTTTCAAGTTAGTTATATTTATGTCATCAGTTACACAAGGAAGCAACTCACATCATCATTGTACATTGCAACATTCTTATCTATACAAAAAATATAAAATGCATTCAACAATATTCCATGTATTTTATTTAAACCCTGCTTAGGACTGGGATCATCATCATCATACCAATCACCATTACAAGTAGAGTCAATTTTATATTAATGCTTAACAAGTTAACTAAATTGGCATAATCAAGTTTTTATATGAAATACACATCAAGTATTTAATGTAACAAATAAATTAACAGAAAAATTTCTGGAAAAGTTTAAAAAAGTTATAACATATGACTCTGATCAAAAATCATTCGCGTTAACACTGCATTTGTATGGGCATAAGGCATATGATTATCTTTGGACAAATGGCTTACATCTTCCTCACACTAGGACATTAAGAAAGTAATCTTGTCATACCTGTTCAATAATTTTAATAAGATTGTTTTAAATAACTATTCTCAATGTCATTTTATTAACACTACATTAAAAGGTGGCTACAAAACATTGATGGTATGCCTGGGGTGATTTCTACAAACCTTATTGACTAATGGGGATGGGGATCCTTTGGAACTGTAGGATCATGACATTCAATGTAGTCATGGATTGAGAAATCAATCCATGATATATTTGATAACAAACATTTATTATAATATAAGAATGAAATGAAAAAAAGATGTAAGGTGTAAGGCAAAATCTTACTGGAACTATTATTTTTAGCAATTTATGATTTATTTTTTTATTTATGACTTTATCCATTTTCAATGATACCGATATTTTTAATTATTATTACCCAAATTATACTCATGCCTATATAAATTAATTTGATTGTAGATATTTCTATGCTTAATTATTTTATTTACTTGCCATAGGTATGCACAGCATTTAATAAATTAATAATAATAATTAATAACACAACATTCTAAGTGCATAAAATATAATAAATTAAAAGTACAATTTTTACAAACCTCATTGGTTATGGTGATGGGGATTCTTTAAAACTGAATGATCATGATCTAACAAGTCACGGATTGATGAATCACTGGAATCACACATTATCTTTAATAAATTTAATAGTAACAACATGTACTACAATTTAAGAATAAGGAATATTTTGTAAAACATTAAGATTAAATAAAAAAAAATTTAGTTTGAATCACTCATAATTAATAAATTTTAATTAAATTGCAAGTTAGCTTGCGGAGTTTGAAGCTTGAATTGAACAAATTACAAAATTGTTTATTTTATAAAATTGATTGATAAGTTGTTTAATATATTTATTTAATTTAGTATATTTTTTATTCCCAGACCTAAGCATTGTAAATAAAAATTTTAAAACCAATCAAGCAATAGAATTTAGGATCTTAGGAACAAGTGCTGTTAGTCATTAGTAGTAGTAGTATGTAGTAGTGTAGTGGTTGGTAGTTTCTAGTAGTCTAATCTGTTAATTTTCGTTAGTGTTATCTGTTATTTATTTCAATTAGTAATTAGAATCAGTAGAGTTTAGTTTTAGTTTAATTATTAGAGTTTTGTAATTTAATTACTAATTAGTCGTCGCTTAGTATTGTCGGTGGTTCACAAAAAATTTTTTTTATTTAAAATGCAAAAAGATACTTAACCGTCATACAGCAATATCTATCCTAAAACAGCATCTAGTATCAGCTTTTAAAACATTTTGAAATTTTAAATAAAAGCATTATTCCGAAATTAGTAAATATGCGATCGTAACTTTTGACTTGGGCGATAAAAAATCACCCTCCAATTTCCCTCCGGAAGTAAGCTCCTTGTTCGACCGTCAAAAATGAGCGAAGGCCGTTATATTTATTCTAATTATATGCCTAAGCCTATATACTATTTATTACGAATAATCTAACGTATATATAAAATTAAAAGTGTATAAAGGTTTGGCAGCATTACTTTTATAACATTTAAATTAATTAATATCCCTACATAATATTTTTGATAGTTTGAAATCAATATATTTGGTGAAGAATAAACCAAAAATTATACCAAAGAACTTTTAAAACGTATAAATCAGACAAGACTTTTTATTCATTGAAATGGCAGCCTCCAATAAAAGTGACATGGGGCCGGTTTTGAAAAATTGCGAAGACTTTGCTCTGTTTCAAGCAAGTGAATCTCATTTTATTCTTTGTTTCATTGATTTTTACTGTTTCGTCTGTTTTAAAAATAATTTTTTTTTCTCTACATTTAACTTTTTTGATTTAATTCATATGAGTTTACTTTTCACTCAAATTCAACTTTAACACTGCTTACCATTGCATTGATTACCCATTACTGCATTACTTACACTTACAGCATTGCCACACCTGATTTTGACAAATAGTTATAATTATTAAATTATTTAAATGCTGTGTATTTAGCTATTAATATATATCGTATAATAATAATAATCTGGCATAGTTATTAGTAGTTGTAGGAGACAAATACCAATAGTTTTAATTTTAAATAACTCCAACAAATGTCAATGATGAATGAATAATCTCTGTTTTATATTTATTGGAAATTTCAGCAGACAAATATGGTAATCAAATGTTTTTCATTTATGGTGTGCTGACTTGGTCAGACCGAAACTAAACACTCTGAGAAACAAATTGTAGTATCTGAAATATAAAATAAAATCCCTTTTTTTATTTTTCTTTTAAATTCATTTTATTCTTGACCTAAAATTCTTTAGTACCACTTAAAGTTTAGGTAGAACTAAAGAATTTTAAGTCTTAAACTTGACCAAACAGTATTGATATGAAATAAATATGTATTCAAATTGCAGGAAACATTAAAAAATCTTAGGCTAATTGATGACCGGGTAGTGAGCAAACTCAACTGCTCACTTGTTACAGATTCCTTCCAGAACAAAGTCGATCCCAAAAATGCCTGCAAAGAATTTTACAATGAAGTCTTTTTCACATTTATGTTATTTCACTTTTATTCATTTAATGATGTGCTTCCATGACATATTTTCCTTCGTGCCAATATAACATTTTTTTTTATTCAAAATCACTGTTGTATTATTATAGGTTTGTGATAAGTCAAAACAATGTTCTAATTTCAGAGAAAATCTACTAAATTATTTTCTAGTTATTTCATTTACGAAAATCAGCAGTTTTATCATAAAATTAAATCAACTATTAAATTATAGTCTTAAATTAATAAAATTTTAATTCCCAAAATGTTTCTGTTTCAATTCTCTCACAATACATTAAGTTCAAATTGTTCAGAAAGTCGAAAAGATCAATAACAGATTAATCATCAATAATGATTAATGTCATCTTAACCACTCTCTTTGAATTTACAATTTTACATGATTTCTGTCCAAAAGTTTGTTATTGAATTTCTCAAATTTAAGGTCTTTTTTGTCAGCATTATTCTATAGCTAGTGGCATTTTCTCACTTTCTCTACTTCATGTTTTTAGCTATTAGAAGCTCACAGAAGTCGGGATCAGTTGATCAAATCATGTGTTAAGGACGTTTCCTCCAAAGTTCACCACCTGCAAAACCTCAAATCAAAAAACGGAGGTGACATTGATTCAAAAATTTTGCCTGTTTTAAGGAAGGAACAAAAATTGGTTAGTTTAAACTTCTTATAGTTTGTTACTGCAGTTGTAACTATTAAGATTCTTGCTTAGAAGCAATTTTAGCTGTTCCTTTAAACTTTTAATGTTTAATTTCTGACACATATACCCTCAACATTGTATTTAAATACAACCTTCATTTTGTTTGTTGTGACAACCCAGTTGACTACTTAATTTTGACTCTAATTTTTGCACTCTAGTTAAGGCAGATGCAGCAGGAGCTAAACATCGAGGAGATCATTCAAGATCAAAGTTTGAAGGTTAATGTTTTTAAATGTCGCTGTTTGAAACGTTTATAAAGTTTCTACGGTGTCATACAAACACTCCTATCATCAATCTTAAATGTAAAGTTTATGATTCATTTTCTAACGGTTATAAATGAAAAATGTCATTGCAGTGCACTCAATTCACAATTCAGAAACCATCATCCATTAATGATGTGGTTAATTCAGGATTGCTTCAAGACTGCCTCCTTTTCAATAATTCATTAGCCTAATCAATCATGCATAATTTACTCGCAGATATTCAAAGAGCGATGTAGACTGTTGTACACACCACCAGAACTGCAAGAAAAGATCACATCTTGATAGTTTCAAACTTTTTACATCGTCAATATTTTTATAGCATCGCGTAATTTGTTTTCTTGCTAGCGTTGTTCATCGGATTTGTTATCCACTTGTTATCATATTCATCAATTCGGATTGTGATTACATTATCAAAATGCACTTCATAATTTTAAAAATCCTTGAATAAGAAAACATATTTGTCGTGTTATAAAAGGCCTGCAAATTAAATAATGCAAGAAAGATTATTTTGTAAGCGTTTTACTAAGACCTATTCTTAATTCTGATTTAAGCATAAATTTTGAACTTGCGTGGAAGAACTAAATAGGATCTGTCAGATTTTTAATTTTATTTTTAGCTGAGAAAAGCACCAGAGAAGATATTTTGAACAGTTGATATAAACTCCAGAGTCTGAAGAACATTTGCTTGATTGTTTCTTCACCACAATACATACTATTAAAGCTTTTTTCATACAAGCACAATTTTCATGTGCTTTTCAGATCAAAACAAATTCAAAATAAAACAAAAATGGAAAATTTTTCAGGGTTCAACTAAAAATAATTTGACCTAATTCAAAAACATAATGAGTATGATCAACATTGGCTGTAATTATCAATAACAACGGTTTTATTTCACATGGAAAACTTTTGAAAGCTACAAGCCAACGAGATGATAAACAAAAATTCTCCTAAAACTGGAGGACAATTTTGCTGAAAAACAGATGAAGTTATAAATATGAATAACAAACAACAATCTACTAACAATTTTCTACCAAATACATTTGAATAACTACAAAATTTGTCATAAAGTACAAATAATATGACATTAATATACCTGTAAATGAACTCTCAAACTACGGCTACTACATAGAGAGTGAATGGAAAGTTACAAAAGCCTAGATATATGCATATATACATATCAATGCTTGTGATGATTGCGGGTACCCATACACAGTGCTTATCAGTAAATGTGACGTTACAGTGTTAGTTATGCCCAGTTAGTTTAGTACAACAGATGAATTGCCAAGGTGTTTCTACAGATATTTTTATAATGAATAATCTGTGGATTGTGAGTTATGTGGGATACAATAGATGCTACAACACTGGAAAGAAATGTATAAACAAGCTGAACACAGCCTTAACGAGCTGAATACAGCTTTACATAATTATATATATATATATATATCCATATATATTAATATATATATATATATATATATACAACAAAATTGTTTGGCAAGCACCAACACTCATGTAATGACATAATTTGTAATTTGAAGTAGAATAAAATTCAATAGCAGTGCATACGAAAGGATGTTACACTGACAAATTAATCATTGGATCACCTGATCGAGATCAACAACATCAACAATTACAATGATGACCTATATTCACAATTTTTATAAACTAGCTAACAGCAGAATGGTTACGACCAACCAGCATCATTGTTCTTTTTTTAAATAGTTACTACACAACGTGGACAGACCAATCAGCAGCCTTAATAAATTAGCTGACCAATTAGCATTTAATTCTGAACGGGATTCTTCAATAGAAACTCCTCCCCCTTCTTGATGTTCTTCTGAAGTTCGGGTATGGCATTCTTTACCAGACCTATCTCAAATTCGCTCAACTTGCCCAGGCCCAGGTTTTTTTCGACGCCATTTTTCTGTTCAATTAAATAAATAATGTTTAATTAACTAGGGACAAATGAAAAAATTGAAGTTAAACTGTAAAAATTTTTAAAAGAGAGAATAACAAAAATAATAGATAAGATAATAATAATAATTGCAATTAAAACAACAGAAAAAACAAACCCCAAGCAGCAGGGGTGTAGAGAAATATTTGGCTTCAGTTTCTTCGGACGCAACGAATGCACATTCAACGACTCCATCCTCACCTGACAGAGCTTGTAAAAGGGATGTCACAAATTTGTCTGCAGCAAACGCCATTGATAAGGTGGCAGATCCCTGGATGTTGTTGGTGGTGTTGCTCAGATGATAGGGTTACAAATTATAATGACAAGATGGTGATGAGAATGATTAAGTGATGACTATATGATTAAGTTATTAACAGTGTAGAAGATGAATATGAAAAAAATTTAGGAGCTAAACAAAGCCTAGATGATGGTATTATTTACTTCTTTATAAATTTCAAACATTTTAATCTATAATTTGAAAGTTTAACGAGATCTCAATTGAAGCCGGTCGTACTCACAGCGCCTGCTTTGGCCTCGACAACTTCAGTGCCTGCATTCTGAATTCTCGTCGTAATGGCTGCTCTCTCCTCCTGTAAGTGCATTTGTGAATGTGATTGACAGTCACCATTAGTAATAAATAAATAGATAAATAAATAAATAAATAAACTATCTCTCAACTGAAAACTCTTGAAAAGAGAGCACAATATGAGAAAAAGAGAACAAAAACAGGACACAAATCCTCATCATCTTTCAAATAGCAACACTTTATACAAATCGTCATCATCTCATGCAGATGTAATACAAACCAAACACACACACCACACACACACACACACCACACATCAAACAACATTTTAAGATAAGCAAGCAGGAAAGTACCTGTGGAAAGCTGACAGGAGGATTGCATTGTGAGATGAGAGGGATGATCGTGATGCCCGAGTGACCTCCAACAACTGGACAATTGAAGTGGGCAACATCCAAACCCTGGTTAGTTAAGTTATTTACTACAAATTGGATTGTATCGGTATATGTATTGGTTATTGTCTATGCCCAAAATGTTGTTGTGTGTGTATAAATAGTATATGAAATTGAAATAAAGCTATGTTTTGAAATATGATATGCTTAAAAATGTATAAATCAAAAGCAGTATGCTTGCTACATGTATAAACCTTGGCCTGTGCAATGAATGTGTTGGCCCTGACAATGTCCAGCGTGGTCACACCAAATATTCTTCTTGGGTCAAACACACCGTGGGCCTTGAAGACCTCACACGTGATTGGAACTGTGGAGTTGACCTGCGTGGTTGGTTGGTCGGTGGCATATTTATTCAATCTCTAATATTGATAGCTCCAAATAATGGAACAAAACATTTTCAATGGAACAAATATGTTTCAATAACAAATCTGACAGAAACAATTTGAATATAAATATTATTAGAGGAGGCAAACAAATAAAATACTCACTGGATTAGCAATGACACAGATCATAGCCTTGGGGCAGTACTTGGCACATGCATTGGCCAGGTCTCTAACAATGGAGGCATTTGTGTTGAAGAGGTCATCTCTGGTCATACCTGGGTGACGTGGATGGTATGCAGAGGTTAAAGGTTAATTATAAGAATATATTACAATATGCATTGGAATGCTATGTGAATATAAATATTATTAGAGGAGTATAGTAGTATAGTACTGCAGTATAGTACTGTAAATGTATTATTATACAACACAAAGTGATACAATCCAACACAATGAAATAAAATACAATACAATACAGTACAGTACAATATGCTACAATTAAATACAAACAAAACAATACAATGCAATACAACAGAATACAATGCAAAACAATGCAATAAAAGTCAGAGGAAAAATATCCGACTCTAGACCCTCAAAAAATCTGACGCTAACTCTCGTTTTTAGGTTCTGAATTCCAGAAAAATTTTAAACTTTTTCATCATAATTTCATCTTATTTTTATTACTAAATAAAAAATACTTTAAAAAACACTTAAAATCAGTAGGTGTAATTGTTTCTCTTAGTATAATTACTTAATTTTTATGGTTTAAAACATACTGAAAAAAATAATTAACTTCTGCATCATAATTTCATCTTATTATTACTACAAAATGAAAAATACTTCAAAACACTTAAAATCAATCAATGTAATTGTTTTACTTACTAAAATAACTTTATTTTTATGTTTTATGACATACAGAAAGAAATTTATGTGATTTTATTCCTATAATTAGCATTTATTTACAATATTAAAAATGATTGCTCATCACTAAATATAATTTATCCTCTAAAAAACACAATCTTAAAAAAAATTTTCAGAAAAAAATAAAATTAAAAAAAAAAACATATTCTAGAGTCAAATAAAACAATAGAACAGAATATTGAAAAAAATAGAAAAACAAATAACTGAATAGAAGAAAATTAAATAAAAATTATGGAAGAGCAAAATATGTTCACACCAGGTTTCCTCGGCACTCCAGCAGGAATAGTGACAACATCACAGCCAGTGAGAGCATCCTTCAACTGCTCCGGTCCCATGTGACCAGTGACGACGGCATTCGTCGAGCAGTGACTCAGATCGGCAGCTACCCCGGGTGTGTGCACAATATCATAGAGGGCCAGTTGAGTGATGTGGGGGTTCAATTTCAAAAGGAGGGAGAAGGGCTGTCCAATGCCTCCACTGGCTCCTAACACTGCTACCTTTGCATTGTTCTGCGTGTATGGAATGTAAATCAAAGAAATTCAACTTAGTTACAAATTAAAAATAAAACCGAAGAGCTGTATTTTAAATTGGAGACCACCATATAAATCAGTCATAACAGAACATTGACAAATAAAAATGATAATAAGAAAGAATGCAAGTGTCAGAAATTTTAATAACCCATTAAATATAATTCATCAAAGAGCACATAATACAATGTTGTGGCAAGTTAATAATCAAATATTGCTTTGAAGAACTGTCATGATTCAAATTAAAAAAATCAATTTTAAAATATTGCACAAAAAATTATAAATAAGATACCTACCTATCAACTATATTATAATATAATAATTATATTAATATAATACTATAATATACTTATATAAAAAATATATTACAGTACAGAAATTTATGTTCAACTCAGATAATTTGACAAGTGTTTAAAATTCAAAAATTACTACAACTACTTATTAAATTATTACAATACTTCTACCACTAATTAGAATTACTCCAACACTTTCTACTAAAATCTTTTTTATGTATAATTTTTATATAATCTTTTTAATTTAATATTATAATCAATCAATCAATCTTCGTTTAGTGTCCAGAGACCCAGTTTCCCGAGGTAGGACATTAGAAATAATTTGGGAAAAGTTTTTACATCCGGACACCCATCCTGACGACAACCACCAGTTATAAGCAGTGGGCCTTACCTTTTGCTCAAAAGCACGCAAGGCAGCGTGAATGCAGTTTTATGTCATGCCCAGGACCATAATTTAATATTATAAATAAATTAAATATGTATAGATTATAAGATTATATAACTTTTGTAATAAAAATACATTGTATTTTGTATAATACAAAGATTACATTGAAATAGAAATTAGATTAGTTTTTTAAAGTGACTATTATTATGTAGACAATATTATCATGTATGGTATGGTAAAGATGTCAACTAGCTTGTTGAGATGAGAATAAAAATTTATTAAAGATGGCTAAAACAACAACTAAATAAAACAGGTTTGCATTTGTAAAGTAAAGTAAATAAAAAAAACAAACATCCAGCTTTACATTTTCTAACCTGATTAAAGATTAAAAAACAAACTTCATTTATGATTAAAATAAGTGCAGGCTTCACTTTTTCTAGAAGTTTATTTAGAATAAAAAGAGAAACACAAACAGCTATGACAAAATAATGATCTGCTTAAAAAAGCCTAACAAAGACGAAAGACGCTCCTGAAAACAGGAAAAAGAAACGAATGCAAAAAACAAAATAAAATGTCCTCTTTTTTCTTCCTATTCCATTCTAATTATAATGATTTGTAAACATCCAGCCTTTGTCCTTGAAAACGACATTCATTCTAAATAAATAAAAAAACTAACGGCAGATGAAAAGCTGAAATTTTTGCCTAACTTCAGAAACTGCCCGGAAATTTGTCTTCTTGCAAACGAAAACATGACTTTAATGGCGGATATTTCGCGAAATTATGAGCACTACAGAACAGACTTGTACGTGAGCGGTGTCCTGTTCAGAAATCCAACCATAGAAATCTTAAACATTATTATAAATATTTTTATTATTAGATTCATGGATTTATGCAAACATTTTCAATTTTGATTTGATTCACTTTAAAATGTTTAAAATCATTCATTAAAATATACTCAATAAACGTTGTATTCGGTGTACAACCCCAGAAAATACTCATTGTCAATAAAGGCGCTCCAACATCATCATATTCACCATGTATAGAGTTATTAGTTAGTATTATATTATATATGTATATATATATATGTATGTATATATATATATATATATATATATATAGAGAGAGAGAGAGAGAGAGAGGTTAGAGACTGTCATATATATGTATATATATATATATATATATATATATACACACACTACCATATGTACAGAATATATACCTGTATATATCTATAACTATTGTCAATTCGGTCACCGAGTTAATATAAAAATTGTGCTTCATAATAGAACTTGAACGTGAACAGTCCGCGGAAGGACTTGAGTCATAAAACTTTCATTACATGGCTCTTGTGGGTCCTACGCACATAAATTTGAAATTGTTCGGTTAAACGTAAAAACTTGCATTTGAAATAATTTTGTTTTTGAAAAGAGCAAATTAGAAAATAGCTGTTTGTTACTTTAAAATAAAATGAGAGTAGGTATATCTAAAACGATATCCGCAAATATTGAAATATAAAAAATTTCATTTAATAGCATTCATAACATCTTCATAGAAATAGGAAACTCTGGTAAAGACGCCGAGTGCACATGCTTCGTCTGAGGCTGGAAGACCAAGGCTAACAATTCCCATCTGCGTCCAATAGAATTGAGAGTTTCGGCACACCAAGGGACCTCCACTATCCATCTGTTTTTGTAGAAATGAAGGTATATATATATATATATATATATATATATATATATATATATATATATATATATATATATATTATATATATATATATATATATATATATGTGTGTGTGTGTGTGTGTGTGTGTGTGTGTGTGTGTGTGTGTGTGTGTGTGTGTGTGTGTGTGTGTGTGTGTGTGTGTGTGTGTGTGTAATTAGAATATATATAGAAAAAAAGTGCAGAGTTTGAACAAATGAAAAATTTACAATTATTTTTACATGAACTATATCGTGGCCAGGTTCAAATATTTAGATCTTTGAGAAGAGTTTAGAAAGGTGGAAAATAGTTTAGTTATAAAAAAAGCAATGGATGAATAGACAGTGTTTTCTACACTGCTTGTTGCATAAAGACAAAAAGAGATCGATGGAGTGTTACAGAAAGTCGCTGAAGGCAAATTAGCTGAAGGCAGAAAGTGGGAAACAAACTTGCAAAAAAATGAATAAATTATATCACAGAAGAAACTAAAATGAAAAATTAAACCTCGAGACTAATGGACGCCGAAGACAGAAATAAGTTTTGAAAGTTGCCAAAAATGGGACGTATCAACCTTAGCTTATAAAAGATTAAAGAAGATTAAAGAACTTGATTGAATTTTTTGATTGGTATCTGATGGAGCCAACCTGTTGAGAACATAAAATATAATCACCCTTGAAAAAGTTCTCAATAGTAAAAACAGATTAACTAAGTTATCATCATAACTCCTATCTGACTGTTCTCTTTTAATTAGTAGTTAAAAAATCAATTATATGTAATGAAAAAAAAATATAACCTTTATTTAGAAAATAATTTACCTTGCAGGGGTTTGTCCCCTTAAACGGCGGAGTTACGGAAGCGCAAAGTTGATTCGCGTAAGAAATCGCATCCTCATACTCGACTTTCCTGGATAAGTCCAGTTCATCATAGTTAACATTGCATTCTTCATTGGTCAGTATGTTCATTTTGCCTTCCATCAATAATATGCTCGAAAATGGATGAGCTGAAGAAAGAAACGTAAGTGCTATTGGCAAATGTTAGAAATTTCTAAATAAAAATTTGACATGCTACGCTGATTAAAAAAGTTAGTTTAAATGAAATTGTCGATACAAATGATTGAAAATTTTCAATTTGAACATGCATGATTTGTGGCTGTGATGTATAATGCATTGAAAGAATATAAACATGCTTGGATCAATCTGACCATGTCCAGTGACCACACAAACGTCATAAGCTCCCATGGTGTAGGAGTCAGCCAGACAGATCGGTTGGACTGACTTGTTGAGTCAGAGGTTCACTCAACTTCAGTAAAACTTATTTGTGCCGACCAGAACTACAATTTTGCTACGGTTCGATGCTAACGTGCTATCTGGTCCGGATGGCATTCTGTTTATTTTTAAGAGGTCAAATTTTATTTTTCTAAAATATTACATATTCTACTAAAACATTAACACATTTTAAAACATAAAAATTTTTTTGAAAAAAAGGGCCTTGCCCAGTTGTGAGACTAAACCTGTAGAAAAGATGTAACCCGACGTTGCAGTGACCGGGCTCGTATGTAAAGAGATTCTCACCTTTTAAAAGCAGCCTATGTGATGCATTGATTCGCGTGTATACTGTTCGTACAGACACGCACACACAGTATAGTATGTTTGTTGCTGACTCCTCCGAGGAATAAATAATGAGGAGAGAGTTTTCAACAAAAAATAATTACTTTATGCAGTGAGCAGCCGTCAAAATCCACCGGTCACTGACGATGCTGCCACCACAACGTCCTTCTATGTCATCATCAATGGCGTACACTTGGGCGTGCCACGGCCAGCCTGATAACTTCGCTATCTTTCCGTTCTTTATGTAAGAATCTTTCAAGTCGTAAGAACCGTCTCTCTTGCCGCAAGCTGTATGGGCGTTTGTGTTTTATCGACTATTTTTAAATTTTATTTGAACCAATTTCTCATCTTAGTATTATTTAAAAAGTTAACAGGTTGTTTTTGATGTATGTTTTTTTTAGGTCGAAATCATGTATTTAAATATTTATAAAAATTTAATATTTTCTATGATGTCTGTGCAGTTGTATGTGATGTTTTCATGTGCGTATCTTTGTGCGCGCGCGTGTGTGTGCGTGTTTGCTCAACAGAATATTACTGCATCACACATCTTATCTAACCTTCATGATCACAACTCACTGCAATGTACTGACCACTTGTGCAGTTAGACCTAAATTACGACAAGAGGAAAGAAATTAAGAGTTGATACGATGAAAAATAAAATATCAGTTGTGTGACATGAAGGAAATGTAAAAAACGTACGTTGGTTTGAAGTTGGACATGAAAAGACTTGCGCCAGACTTCACCTCATCAGTAATCCGCAGTGCGTATTCAACTCCAAACTTGCTTATGATTTTTGTATTGTTGCTTCCACTTCATGTTTTTTAAAATAATTTGAATTAATAAACACAAATTTTCAAACAATAAATATAAAATGATGACAAATATAATAAAATGAAAATAATTAGTTAGACCTGTATCCCATGTGCCTACAGACGCCGGTGCTATGTTCCTCCGTCCAGCCATCTGAACACATGATGTAACCAGGCTGTCTGTTGTAAATGCTGCTCAACAAACCTGACCCACCCTCCACATACACTAAGAGTTTGCAAGTGGCCAAGTATACATTATACAAATGTTACTAAAAAGAAATATTTCAAATTTATTTATACAACTCTTCTGGAAAATATAGTTTAAGATAAAAAATTCACTGCAATTTTGTTCATCGGAAGCGTCTGAACATTCTGAGACTCCATTGCATTGTGATTCCTTTCTTATGCACTTCCACTTCTTACATTGGAACTGATCCGGTCTGCATAGGTCTGAAATGAAAATATTTAAAAATTCCATGACACCCGACTACGTTTCAATTGTTATTTCATCAAAGGATATTATTATTATTACGGAAATTTATTTGCAGCGCTTTTTAATTGTTGAAACTCAAAAGTGCTACTGAATCATAGACAAATACGACGGACGTTCATTGTGCAAATAAATAAGTTTTAAGCTGACTTCGAAATTGTAAATATGGTAGGTAATGGTAGGTAATACAACTTTCTCGTTGTATTTATCAGCAGTAGCAACAACTCACACATGAATCTAAGCACAACAAATAGGTATTTAGCCAGTCACTGCAACTCTCAACTAGTCCCCTTACTTAGCTATTGGGCTATCTCACCGCCCAAATTCTAACTAAGACGTCGAGTATAGAAAAAAAAATGCGTCCAATTTTTTTCTCGTTGTTTAAATAAAAAAAAATCCAATTATAGAATATTCAATACCATCTAAATATATCGGCGTCCTTGTTTATTTGTTTATTTTATAGTTAAAGTTTTGAAGTTCTTAGCTGAAGAAGAAAACAGTTAACAAATAAAACTTCATCTCCATGTGAAACGTGACTGACTGCATCTGGACTTGTCTTCGTCATCGGCCTGTCGACAGTCGTTGATGCCATCGCAGAGCCAGCTCCAATGTATGCACTCACCACTCATCGCGCACTTGTATTGGAAGGGCAGGCAGGCTTTTGGTGAACATTTAGTTTTCATTTTATTTTAACTTTTTAAAAGTAAATTTTTTTACTGAATTTCTTTTTTGTAACCTTTACTTTTTTTAAACTTTTAAAACAGATTCATCGAATCATCATTTTAATTGACTCCTTTTAAATTTTCATTTTGACATAAGACTCGTTATAAATTTTCTTTTTCATTTTGAGACATAACTTACCAAAACGGCAGTTTTATAAATACCTAAATGAAGAAAAATTCAAAAAAATAAAATGAAATATCTGTCTGACAGCAGTGTCTTTCATCTGAATTATCCGGGCATTGCCTGATGTTATCGCAGATCTTATCTTTCATAAAGCAGATAGACTGATCGGCGCACCATGAATCATTCTCCGCTTTACATACGTCTTCATTGAATATATCTAAAATGGTAATAATAACAACAACAACAATGATAATAATAATAAGAAGAATGATAATAAAAATAATTTATGAGTCATACACAGCCCTGCATTAACCTTATTGTCTCATAAAGTTGAAAAACTTGCGGCTACAAAATTGGTCCCACAAATGTTCGGTGACATTCACACAAATATTATAACGTATCATCATTGCTATAATTGTTGTTGTTATTATTGTTGTTGTTATTAATTTTATTTCATTTGTGATAATGAAATGTAATATAATGTAATGTATTGTAATTTAATGTCATGTGATGTGTTGTAATGTAATGTAATGTGATGTAATGTGATGTAATGTGTTGTAATGATGCTTAGGTAATGCAGGGGCATTTCATTAGCATAATCCTTTTCCTATACTACGTATATGCACATTTTATATTATGAACATTTAATTACTACTAAATTACTTAATTTGAGGCACGCAGAGACGTATGAAATAGACAGAGTAGATAGATTTGGTGCTATGGTCCCAAGTTCATTTTTTATTTTTATCTTTATCCAAAATTTATTTTATAACCACTGAATTTAACCACGACTTACAATTCTCAACATTTAATTTTGTATTTTTTTCACAGAGAATTGATATAAAAATCTGGCTTTGGACACGTAAAAGGTTAAGATTTGCCATTTTTTTTTGCAATTTCGAAACCCCTGCATTACCTAAGCATCATTAAAACACATTATATTGCATTATATCACATTACATTACACTGCATCACATTAAATCACATTACATTACGATACATTTGATTTTTTAAAACTTGTTCTAATGGACTATAAATACTTTTATTTCATTATTCCTGAAAAATAAATTTACTCTACCAATTCTTAATTACTGTTTGATAAAAATGACATGGTTTTGAGTTGCGAATTAAATGTATGTAAATGTAACCACATTTATGTATTTATTTCATATCTATGATATTCAATATCTTTGTTATATGTTTGATCTTTGTTTGGGTTTCGATAAATGTGCTTCGATAAATGTGCTGCGATAAATGTGCTGCACCACGTGATTGACATATTTTATAATTTATTTGATTTATGAGTTTCGTATGAATAAGCCTGTAATTGATTACTGTTTTACAGGTATGTTTTCTTTAATTTATATCTCTGTATTATTTTATATTATTTGATTATATGACATTTAATTTGTTTGAATAAACTGTTTTACAGATTAATAAATCAGGTTTTATTTAGAAACAATCTTACAAATCAATTACAAGTTATATTCCAAAAAAAAAAAAAAAAAAAGAAGAGAAAGAAAGAAAGAAAGAGAAGATGTCTTCAGATAAGTTATTTTTTTATATTATAAAAAGAAACGATAATTTCGAATTGACGGCTTTGTCAGAAAATAAATTAGCGTGGTATAATTTGCCCGATGATTATAAAGATTTGGCTGAACATAAAGTTTTATGCTCAAAGCGAGTGATAAAAAATACAATTATGACAATAAAACCGATTAATGGT